AGCTTACTCTCCTGGAGAATTATTCATTTTATATGTGACAGCTATATCGTTCGTTATAGGAGAGTACAATGCTATATATGTCATGATTATATATTTGGAATTGGCCGACAAGGGTACAGGTGTGCGGATTGCCGATTGTGTGTACACAAGAAATGCCATCGTCTTGTCAGAACTGCTTGCGGTCAGGTAAGTTTTCTTGGATGTTTAGTCTACTTTGTTTCACTATTTTTTGTTGTTGAAGTTTATAGTTTCTTTTGTAGACTCCTACGCAGATTATTCCTACGCAACCTAACGCCGCAGCACTTGTGACCGGCACATATCAGCCTCCCCAGAATGGTGGGGAAAAAACCTCATTTCATGGACTTGACAACGGCGCTTTCCAGGAGGCCGAAGTAGATTCCACCCATCAGGCAGCTTGCGCCGTGACTGGAGTACGTTGCTCGCTTGAGCGTTCAAGCTTGAGCTTTTGCTTGATCACTTACTCCTTTAGAGAAATCAGCTTTTTTATCTCGTCTGATTCTAGCCTCAAGATGGCATTGTCTCAAGCAAATGGTCAGTTTCGTTGAGTGACTTTCGCCTATTGACTGTCATTGGACGTGGATCATATGCAAAGGTAATGAAGGATGGTTAACTACTCTACCACATACGTTATGCTTATTAATAAGGAGCCTCTGAACAAGTGCTACTATGCTATTCTCTAGCTTCACAATGTAGAAACAACGTATATATGTCGCACTTCAAATAACATATCTGTATCATATGGCGCCTTACCATAGATATGTGGTTGAGTACAGACATATTATCTTCTGTAAAAGGACGAAATTTGAGAAGAATCATTCTAAGATAACTTCTTTTCAATTCATACTTCTAGGTTCACAATTTGGCAGGAAAAGCAGAGACACAGCAAGCTCACTGCTTACCTACTGCTGAAAGCAGAATATCTGCGAAACTACATCGCATTTAGGGAGCGAGACTTTCTTCAACATACTCTAAGGACTGGTTATAGGGAGGCTCACATCCTCATACTTTGCTAACAGGAGCAAGTAGGATTGTCGTTGTATGCAATATCCCTGCAATAGTTCCTGCCATATTTTTTGTTTTCTTCGAATCCACTTCCTCCAGTAGTGTAGATACAACCTTTAACCATGTGCAGTCAGTAAAGTAATTGTGACAGCATTGGTTCATACGATCAGGCATTGCTGTCCTACTACTGTACAGTTTTTCTTGTAACTTCCCGATTTCTATATTCATGCGACTTCGAGTGACTATGAATTTGGACATTAATCACCGACTGGACATTATCTGCATAAAGTCGCCCAAAATAAGGAATTGGGCGCCTTTCGGATTCAAGGAGAGAAGTTGCAGCTAGGCGATTGCACACATTCTTGTACGGGCACATTCTCCTCTCGCTGGTTTAACTGCTAGCGGGAGACACTAGACGTGGTCGCGATTAGAGGGAATGGCTGAGCAGTGGGGATGTCAGGAATAGAATTGTTATAGGAAGGTGAAGGTCTGGAGCAGATCTCTTCATCTACACTTGTTCTGGTTTGGTAGTAAGCTTGGCTGGAAGGCAACGTAGTAAGAATTTGGAAGTCATCGTTGTGCGCTATCTTTAAACAGATCAATTTCGTGATTTCATTTGATTTATGTTAGCAAGACTAGCTCAAGAAAAGTGCAAGCGCACCAAGTGTTCACGAAACTGTGAGGAAACCTTTCCATACAGATAAGATATTTATTTTATTTTGGCAGAATTAGCGCTTTACCACTAGGCTTATATTGATTATTTATTGCATAATTTTCTTGGAACGATTTTCAGTGTGCATGAGTTGTTACTTAACGAAAATCCAGCATTAAAACCAGATAACTCGCAATATTATATTCCAGGTAGTACAAGCAGAGCACATCAAAACAAAGCAGATTTATGCGATAAAAATCATCAAAAAGCAAATGTTCAACGAGGATGAGGTGAGATCCGCGTAAACAAGATGTGATTGACATCCGTTACCCTACGACTGTAGTCGAGTTTTCAAATTTAGGACATTGATTGGGTGCAAACTGAAAAGTCTGTGTTTGAAGCTGCCTCAAATTACCCTTTCCTTGTCGGCCTTCATTCGTGCTTTCAGGTAAGAAAACCACAATATTTTGTAGCTTCACAATGAGTTTGTAACATTCAGGATAGTTTATATATTATCTTTTTTTAAACTCTTCCATTCTTGGCCTTTCTGGCAGGGTGGGACACAGCAAAATTCTGGGGAGTGGAGAGGGGCGGAAGTCATAGTCTTCTAAAATGCGAGGTATTGGGCATGGCTAGATTAATGCTAGCTGTGGCTGACCATTTCTAGGAAAGGGGAGGACCTTTCATTTATCCTATCTTTTAACCTAAATGCTTTATTTCAAATTGGAAAGGTGAACTTAGAAATGTACTTGTAGTAAATGAAATTACTTTTGACAACAATGGCAGGACAAAAGTATATGTCGTAGGTGCCTCATGCGCTGGGATGAGCACTTACTGTAGCTTTGGTACAAAACTTTACGGCATCACTATATCTCGGGCCAGCGCAACCTCATCAGACAACTCTTATCTTTGTTAAGACTACATTTCGACCACTGCCAGTTATGGTTAACGCGGCACTAGAGCTATTTACCACTTTTCGAACTTTAGTAGGAACAGGTACAAAATCCATTCTCAAGTGCAAGCCTAGATTCAGTTCTGTCTTCCGCATCACATAGTGTAGCTTTCAAAAGTGAAACTAAGCATTAACGTTCAAGAAATGATCGTAATTCTTGTTATATATTCTATTATTTTCATTCCATATCGCCAAATTTATTATCGTTTCTTGCTTTTCAGACCGAGTCCAGACTTTTCTTTGTTATTGAGTTCGTACCTGGAGGAGATCTCATGTTTCATATGCAGCGTCAGCGTAAACTCCCTGAAGATCATGCAAGGTTTTATCAGTTAATTTTCTTATCTTTATTGTCACAAAATATTGAGTTAGCCAAGTTGTTGGTCGTTTTCAACTTCGATTTGATATTTGATTTGGTTCTGCTTGGGACATAATTCTTGTCTAACAATTTCAGCGCCAAGCTGCCTTTAAGCGCATGCGGCAAGCCGCTTAGGAGACACCTTGCTGTCATATAATTTGATCAATATAGAGTTTCGGTAAAAGCTGAGGAGGGTGAGGGGAGGGGGCGAAAGCCCGGTAATTGTGAATGGCGAGCAGACCGTCTCTCCCGAAACGGGTAAGAAAGCTAACTCATTGAAGATAACTCAAGAAGTCAAAACACTCCGAGCCCATGTTGAGAGTTCACTGAACAACATCGGGAGCTAGTGGATCTCGTGAAAAAACGGAAGTTGGCATTATCTGTATGTAGGAAATGAAATGGAAAAGTGTGACGTCGGAGACAATATAAGCTCTCTGCAATGGCGCGAGTGCAATCAAAACGGAGTAGGCATGGCGTCACAAAGATGACCAATTAGAACGACTGGTGATCGAAGACAGTCTTCAGGCAAAAGCAAAGATTTGGAGTTCTCGTCAGGTAATTATGGCCGACTCTCTGAATAAGCTAAGCCTCAGATTCAAGTGAATTTGTCGTGGTAAGCGAAAAAAAATTGGTCGGTTTATCTCGGTCCACCCAATGATTCCCTCCTTAGCATCGTTGTCTCTCAACAGCAGTATCCTTTAGCGAGGATGACATGCGATCATTTTGGGACCGAAAGTCGGAAGCTTGCAGTTGCGAGGCTGCCACTCCCTGTTGTTACCGACCTGTTAGTAGTGCAGAAGCCGCATCTGTTTTCTGACAATTCTACACTGATTGAAGTTGAATTCGAGTCCAGCACATCGATATGGTCCAGAAAAGTGGAAGCTCGAAGTCGAAAATTTGCAAGGACTGTCCTTCAA